CCTCCATACAAATATCCTTTAGAAATGGAACAAATTTCCCAAAAATCTCCGTAGAGGAGCACAGACATCTGTAGACACAGATTCTTAATAAAGAGACCTGGAAGAGGGTGAAGAGATTTTTCGAAGAAAATTTGTTTCACTTTTAAAGGCTATTATTATGGAGGATAATAGAAGATCAAACGATGATTTTTACTGCGTAGAATTTATCGCACATGGTGAAACTCTAGGAGTAATTTCATGCAAAATTGGTATATTTCCTATAAAAAAGGGCTCATTTTTTTGCATTTTTCAATCAATCTCCAAGGACCATGTCTGGAGACCCTACGCTAATTTTTCTATAGAGTTGTAGCCCAGAAAGTGAACTTGAAGGTTCTAAAGAGCAGTTCCTATAAACATTCATTTCCTCGTAGGTCTCTTGTTCTGAAAACCTACATTTCTATCAGAATCCTAATTTTGAGAGTACTCCTCTGATCAAATTGAACGATGTAGAAGGCTGAAACTTTTAGAAAAGATACATCATTTTCTCTTCTATGTGCAATGAAAATATCAGATCTGTATTGCATTTCAATCAAACGTTATGAAGCACCAAACTTACCAAATATGATACTTTTTCTACATATTGAATGGTTCATAAAATCCCAACTGCTTAATATTTTGAAACAACAATTTTATGGTCAACACGACTCACTGAGATATGTATTCATATCAAATTTCAGCTCAATCGCTTGAGCTTTTCTTGAGATATGGTTGGATTTGGACCCCTTGATGAATGTGGTCACTTTAAGCCTTTTCGTGAAATACTCATAAAATATTAAAGCATCAACACATTTGAAAACGGCTTGTGCCAAAATTCTTAGAACTCTTTCCTCTACAATATGCCTTAAATTGCACAAAGTCTGACGACCTCAATTGAGTAAGTTCGCCCATAACTTACATGGACTCGCTCATAGATCTGTTTTTTGCATTCCAAAACTCATTTGGAAAGAACTTCTTTTTATGTACTCAAAAAGTGAGTACACTCTAGAATCGGTCAGAGTATCCATCCGTTCGGCCAGCCATTTACACGATAACTTTCGAAAGGAGAGTCCGATCACAATGAAATTGTCTACACAGTTTCGTCTCATCAATGTCTCGGTCAAGTTCTAAGATGAGAATGATTCGTCGAGCCATTGCTGAGTTATCGCAAAAAGAGTCATTTTCCCCTATGCTTTTCTATGCGATTATTGACCTATCACGGTTTTTGTAAAAGGAGGCCTGGCTAAGTGCCCTGGAGTCGGGAACCCAAAGGGTGTGGATAGCGGTGGAAAGTTGCCGACACGTTCTCGGGTAACTGGTAACGGTTTGGTAATCTTCTCTCGTCTCCAGCCCTGAACCATAGGGTCTTCAAGTCCTATTTTTGAAAAAAAATTTTTTATGCAGAAACATTTTTTTTTTCGAAACAATAGAACTTGAGGACCCTATGGTTCGGAGCTGGAGACGGGAGAGGGTTACCAATCCGTTACCAGTTACCTGAGAACGTGACGGCAACTTTCCACCGCTATCCACACTCTTTGAGTTTCCAGTGAGTTTCCGACTCCAGTGAACTTGGACACTGCTGTCGTCAATTATTTTTTTTACTTCTTGAAGTACACATAACACTCGGATTTATATCCGAGGTTTCCACATTTATTTACTAAAATTTCAAGTGTTGTCAAAAAACTTTAACTTTTCTCAATGAGCACATTTTTGTATTCCAAGATACATTTTTTTGCAAAAATCTTTTTTTGATAAACATTTTTTATGAAAATACGTCAAGTTGAAAATCTTGAGATTCCGATTTCAGATTCTGATTCCACGACCCCGATTTTGCTAATGTGTACTATACTGGAGAAAAATCGTCTTCAATCGTGATTGGCTGAAAAAATTGACCAATGGGAGAGGGAGCAGACGTGACACTGAACATTAGTATATAGACTAGCGAGAACCCGGGCATACTGCACGGCTGTTTTGTTCTTTAACGCATGACCTCGGACATTTAACTTTTCATCCGGTAAAATACATACAGACACTCGATATTATGTACATAGATAGATAGTCCTACGACCTCATACTCTCATATCGCACATATTTTTATAGCCCATGTAGCCTTCGGCCTTATCGCCTTATATTTCTTGCAGCCTTATCTCCCTATTGCCTTACTCCCTTCAGGGCCTATAAGTGTCACAATATAATAGCCCTTGATCGCCTGTCAGTACCCCGCTAGGATAGCCCTTGAGGACTTATGAGTAACCCATAGGTTAGCCCTTGGGGACCAATGGCTACCTCCATATAAGAGGCCTTGGAGACCTATGGGTACTCCCATGGGATAGCCCTGGAGGATCTATGGGTACCCCAATAGAATAGCCCTTGAGGATTTATCAGTACCTCATAAAATAGCCCCTGGAGATCTCTCCCTGAGAGTCTTATTTGACCTTTGACCTTTGACCCGGCACAGACACACACACTGAACATTATATATATAGATATGTATTTCAAACTGTGTTTTTTTTCAGATGATAGCTCTTCTCTTTCTCTACAAAATAATATAATTGGATCAATACCTTCATATGAGTTTGATATAAATATTCTTGATTTACTAAGGAGAGATCGAAACTTTGTGACCACCCTTTAGTACCTGTTAGCAAACCATGGAAAGACCACTGGTTGATATTTACTGCTAATCGGATAACTCATCAAAGTGAAACACCTAGTTCAAAAAATGAGAGAAACTCTATCAATATGAAAACCTGTAGTTTTTACTGTATTTGTGTTATTTTAGTGGCGTCCAGCACAACTACAACGACACTGATTCAAAGTATGAACTAATGCCTTAGATCTCATAACTATGCTACTCATTGAGCTGAAAAAATGATTTAAATTTAAAATCAATGTAGAGAATTATGGAATGCAGCAAAGTAAAAATAATGATCCTACCAGATTAACAATTCCAGTTACTATTTACTGGAACGATTTCGACCAGTCAAAGGCTCATCAAACGAAAATAGAAAAAGCACAACAACAAGATTTTGAAAATTTCCGATAGCAATTATATAAAATCGAATTGTTAATGAATATTGAAGTACATGACGAGAAAAACTGATTCATTTGCCAGTTATCAAAATACTGTTTAAAGTTTGAAATGCTCGCATTGATATATATACAGGGTGATCCAAAAGTCTTGGTACCTCTCAGAAAAATTGTTCGTTCTTCCTTATAGTAAATTCCAAAATGCTCAAACTTTGGTATCTTATTCTATATAACATGGCCAATGTTATCCTAAATTTTCATCTCACTATCCTGATAAATAAGGGAGATGTATAGACTACCTTTTTTGAGATCTTATTTTCACCAGGCCGCAAAAATAATAGTTGGCGTATAATAAATGGACTACTTTTGTATCTCATTTTTCCGCCATTTGATACGTTCTATTAAGAAAACAATATACCACACGATGCAGCGTGAAAAGCTCTACAATCTACATAGTGCAGCATATTTTAATTATATAGTTTTTGTTTTCGAAAAAAAGCAAAAATTTGTGTGATCAGTTTTTAAGTTAGTCCGACAGAGTTTTGCTTTTTTTTTTTTTGAAGACAAAAATTACATGATTGAAATATACTGTACTGTGTAGATTGTAGAGCTTTTCACGCTGCATCTTGTGATATACTTTGCTTTTTCTTAATAAAATTTATTAGGTGACAAAAGGGGTAAAAAAAGATGAATTTTTCGTTCGTGCAAAAAAAAAAGATTTTTTTTATGATGACCATATTTGATCGCATAGTTTTGCTTTCTTTTGAAACCAAAAACTATATAATTAAAATACGCTTTACTGTGTAAATTGTAGAGCTTTTTACGCTGCATCTTGTAGTATATTTTGTTTTTTTAATAGAACGTATCAAATAGCGGAAAAATGAAATACAAAAGTAGTCCATTTATTATACGCCAACTTTTATTTTTGCGGCCTGGTGAAAATAAGGTCTCAAAAATGGTAGTCTATACATCTCCCTTATTTATCAGGATAGTGAGATGAAAATTTAGGATAACATTGACCCTGTTATATAGAATAAGATACCAAAGTTTGAGCATTTTGGAATTTACTATAAGGAAGAACGAACAATTTTTCTGAGAGGTACCAAGACTTTTGGATCACCCTGTATATATATGGGCATGATCAGTCAGCATAGTACTGGGTTTTTGTTTTCTTTCTACACCTTCAGTAGTACATCAGAGAAGTACGATTTTTCTACCTGATATAGTCCCTGTGTAGAGCTATGAAACGCACGTCATTTGATCTGTATGTTATGATTTGAAAGATATGCTTCAAGTATTACATTCAGGTGACATAGTTTAAGTTAAAAGGTTATACTCGTGACAAATAGGTAACCATTCTAACAAAAAAGAAATCTCGAGAAGGTAAATTGATAGTATAAGACAAAGATCACAGAAAAGTATCCGCAGTACAAGAGGAACTATTGTAAGTATGAATCAGTGTATTAAAATTTATACCTTTTTGATTTGTATGTATCGAACATCAATCGTAACTTTAAGACTCTTAGAAAAGTTGCACGGGCTGTTTTTATCATATTCTCGTTGAAAATCTGTCTTGTTTATACTTTATTCTATTTAAGTTCATCGTCGTAAGAATTGATTTATGAGAACAGGATGAAAACAAGATAACTTGAACTATATAGGGTGGAAATTTTACATAAGACGCATCTTTTATATCATAATATACAGATCAACTCAGATGCCTTTCATATCTCTATACATGGAGTATATTAGGTAAAAAAAACTTATTTCTCTGATGTATTATTGAAGGTTTAGAGAGAAAGCAAAAATAGGATACTATGATGACTAGCTACGCCCATATATATATAAAGCGAGAGAGACAGAGGAAGAAAGAATCGTTAATGTATTATGAATTTATTTTGAATCTCAAAATCTGTTTTGTTGTAGCCACAGTTTGCAGCTTGAAGTTTGCACCAATGGTATCATATTCAACTAATACTAACCCGGGCTCGATCACCGTTGCTGATTTCAATAACGATGGTCACCTTGACATTGTCGTTTCTAATAATGGGGCTAACAGTGTAGGTGTATTTCTTGGATATAGTAATGGAACTTTTGAGGCACAAAGAACGTTTTCAACTAGCTCGGGACCATTTGCAGTGACCACCGGTGATTTCAACAATGATACTAAAATAGATATCGCCGTTGCCAATCGTGATGCTGACAGTGTGGGTTTACTTCTTGGGTATGGCAATGGTACCTTTTCGACGGAAAAGACGTTTTCAACTGGAATTCATCCGTCATCTATTGCCGTAGGCGATTTCAACAATGACAATCATCCGGATATCACCGTTGCCAATAATGGTGATAATAATATAGGTATACTTATTGGATATGGTAATGGAAGCTTTGCCAGCCAAATTACTTACCCAGCTGGTAGTACCCCAAATCCAGTTGCCATTGGTGATTTCAATATTGATCAAAATCAGGATATTATTACTGCTAATTGGTATACGAACGATGCGAGTTTATTCTTCGGATATGGTAATGGAACGTTTGCTTCACAAACAATGTTATCAGTTGGTACTAATGGTTATTCGATTGCTATTGGTGATTTGAATAGGGACAACAAACCTGATTTTGTTGTTAGCAACATAGGTGATAGCACTGTCAGTGTATTTCTTGGACACGGTAATGGAACCTTCGCACCAAAACTAACCTTCTCAGTTTTTACTGGCATAAGATCGATCGTCCTGGGCGATTTCGATTTGGATCAAAACCCTGATCTGGCCGTTGCCGATACTAATACCAACAATGTGGGTGTACTTCTGGGATATGGCAATGGAACCTTCGCCACGCAAAAGATATTTTCAGCTGGAACTACGCCCTATTCAGTGGCCATTGGTGATTTCAATAACGATAGTCGCTTGGATATTGCTGTTGCTAACTATGATAGCAACACAGTAGGAATCTTTTTGAATAACTGTTAACATTCTTTTACCTAACTAACTTTGTTCGTAATTACTGTAATTCGCACTCATCCTTTTGGAACTTTATACTTAAGAAATTCTTTTTTCCCAGACGTTATTTCTTGAAAAAAGAAATATCTTTACGATTAAGACGAAATCGTTTGATGGTCTGCTTCAGGACAGATTAGCTCTTCTGAAGTTGTTCAGGAATAACTGAATAATGGCAACAATCATGTTAAATATTGATACGAAAAGGAACGTGACTGTGAATGTGTGGATATTGACAAACAAACTAGTCACATACGCATACCTATGCCTTTCTGTAGGGTGTGAATGTGGGTGCGGTTGTAGGCGAAGACAATTCCAACATTCATATTCAGACCCACACATTCACACTCATACCCACACCCTGATTCTGAACATATAGGTTTCACAGTTGTATAATTTTGTTATCTATGTATATATTTATAGATTTTAAACATATATGATGAAGACTATCTAAGAAACAGTCGAGACGGGTCCTATGATGCGATGAGTCTTTCTAATGCGAGAAACGCATCCACCTAACCTCCACCCATAGCTATACCCCCAGATTAACATCCACACCTAGGCCTATACCTGGAAACAGATTCACTCACACCTAATTTTATGATATTATCTGATGAGACGTGTAAAATGAGAAGCTGTGATGTGCGCTTGTGAGTATGGAAGACGGTGAGGGTAGGACATGTACAAGAGCAACTTTCTTTGATGTAGGTCCCAGCCCTTGTGTGTGGCTGCCAACTTTTAGTTTCTCAGGATTTATTTATTCGCATGATAATTCAGCACACTCATATCCTCACTTCACAGAAGATTTAGTCCAAAGTGCGAGTAGACCTTTGAAAATGTTTCAATAAATCCTGAAAAATAATTCCAGATAGCTATTACCGAGAACGTGCCATATGCGTCAGATATGAGACTATTTTCGAACAGCCATTTTAGCGAACCATATAGATGTGTTGTTTATTTCATTAGAGAACTTACGATACATTATATCGATTTTCTCAGTCATTGTGACAGACTTTCTCTTGCAGAAGATTGTACGATACATGGGCATTATCAAATATTTTCTTGTATGCAACTAATTTCAAGTGGAATGCGATTGTAGTCCGAGAGAATACTCAGACGCACCAGCACATTCGCTCACGACCACGCCTTAGAATTTGGCTGATCGCATAAAACTTTTATTAAGAAGTAACATCATCAGGCGTATATCATTAAAATCTGAACATAAAGTAACGCGTGCCCATATTATCCAGCATAGCTCCTTTATCATGATAACCGATTCTTCGTTTGCCTAGTGCGTTGACTACTTCGAGATGTTCCTCCAAACTATCGATGATTTGCGTTAGGGCAGCTTCAATCAATGTCGGTCTTAGCTTACTCTCCTTCATATTAGTATTTTTGAATTGTGCTGCATTTGATTGAGAGAAATCAGTATTATCATCACTATTATTCGAGGGCTTTGCGAGAATATGGCTTATTAGTACTTGTTTCACCTCTTTCATAGTATTTGGAGTTAGCTAACGTATAGCTTGCGACTTAGGATGGCGCCAAAATTCAAGAGGATCAAACTGTATTGATCCATTGAGTATATTCATTTGAAGACAAAATAGCGTTATTGATCGAATAGATTCATGGGTGGGTTCAAGATCGAACATACGCAATGGATAAGGTTTGGCAACCGGAGGAGAACAATTAAGAGGAGATGATTCTCCTTGTAGAGTCGAGTGTTTCTGGTCTTTTATCATGGGCTCAATAGAAGACGAAACACCTTGTAAAGTCGAATGTTCCTGATCTTTTACCACAGGTTCAATAGAAGACGAATTTCCTTATAAAGTAGAGTATTTCTGATCTTTCACCATGTATTCAAGAGGAAGAGACTGACCTTCTATATATTGAGTATTCACAACAGTATGAATGAGTGTTGATTTTTCGACAGGAGTACTCTCGCAACAAGCAATTTTCAATCGATAAATGTGTTCAGCGAGTTAAGAAATGAGTATTCAATGTTTCCTAGCAAAATGACAGGGTGAGTAGAGTTATTTCTTATCTCAAATATGGTGGACTGGTTAAATACGAGGGTGTGGATGTGGGTGGTGTGCGTGTGGGTGTGGGTGTGGGCATGGGTATTTAGAAACATATGACCATTACGTACACCCACACCCGCACCCACACCCACACCCATCCACCCACACCCCATACCAACCCACACCCACACCCACACCCCACACCCCACACTCACACCCACACCCACACCCCACACCCACACTAATTAAACCATAATATTTAACAATATGTTTTCCTAAACCACATTTTGTACATTTATTTTTAAGATATTTACGAACATCAGACAAATAAGATTCACTGTCAAAAATAGATCTATTATTAATTTAAATACATCCTCTATATAATCCTTGGCGAGTTTTATAAAAAAAAAACATTGCTAATATCTCAATTATTTCTTGGTCTTTATGGATTGGTGCAATGAGTGCTAAGAAATTCGAGAGACATGGCACTGAAGTCAATGATACATCTTTTGAACTAGCCGATATTTTTTTTACATATATGCAAAAAGTTTTCTGAACTTCATTTGTATAAGAACAAACTATTTGTAATTGCAAACAAATCTGCATTTTGGTAATAAATCAACTTTATTTCCAAGAACAAATATAATATTTGGTGAAGTATTATGATAGTCAGTTGTTTGATCAACGAGATGTGTCCATGATCGACTAATTGAATTTGTTATATCAAGAAGATCAACAATTAAAATAATTAGAGCACGTTTTCGTTTTATTTCTGTTAAAATATCTCTTTAAATTTGTTCATTGACTTGACAATGTGATATAGGATTTGTATAGCTAAAAAGAGAACATCTTTGACATTGACTTGTTCGTTTTTGTAAATTTGTTGAAAGATAATGTTTATATATTTCAACTGGTATAAAACCTCTAGAATATAGATTAATAAATAAGTGGTTATATTCAATACAGTTTAGTTTTATGAGCACATTGAAGTGATGCTCCATAACCAAAACAACGAGCTGTTTCATGAATAGATTTTGTTTTATCTTCAGTTCCTAAATCAATAATGGAAATGATTTTCTATCGATGGAAAAGCAACAA